AACTCCGTATCACTACAAAGTGTGACCACTCTTAAATGTGATGGCATGGTGTAGACGCAACAGCATGTCAGAGTGCCTGATAAGATAGAATCAGCTCCAGTTTTCCAATCCATTATGCCATCTCTTTACCGCTGAACGTCATAACGAGAACGATAACTACCACTTTGATAGATTCTAAACCGTCCTGGTCAGTGACCATAGCCCAAACTATCTCCGCTTGGGCACCACTAAGGCCACAAAAATGTATTACATAGGGAGATCTAAGGAAGGAAAAGTTGTTAGAGTTCGATCTAAATCGGCCACGGCGTGTTCCTTTATTTACCGCTTGAACAGAATGCTTTCCCTCTCCAACGCTTTGCAATTATTCCAGTCAATAATATAGTGTTGCTTTTTAGCATGATCCGTAATTGTTGATTCATTGATTTGTGAATTGGACTGCCTCATACCTAATATGGTGACTTTCTCTCGTTTCTAGGTTTATGTGTGTCTCTGTGACCATTATCTTTGACCCCAAACTGCATTATGTCTCCCAGCTACGCCGCGCATCGGAGGATTTACTATTACATAAATGTATCTTGTTTTCTATATATACGTGTTTATCCTTAAAATTGTCTTTATGAGCCGGATCGTAAGGTTTCATGAATGTCACCTTGTCATTGGCACAGATCCTCGAAGTGGCTTTGAGTCATTCTGATATCATAACAAGGCATTTTGTGTTTTCTCTTTACTAGGTCTTTACGCTATGCTTTCCCGTAATTTCAACAAATTTACCGCCTTGAGTGTGCGTAATAAATATCCCCGTTCATTTATTGCCCCTACGGTATGGCCCTACCCTAGATTCTGTCCTGATTTATGAAACAGTTGTACCATTAATCTGTGTATGTTTGTAATGCGGGGACGCCTTGGTTTAGAAAACGGTAAGACGTAAAGCTTAATAAGTGTGTCAAGAGATCATGTATAAAATCGCGGGAAAAGTAATGAGCATTCATTCTTTAATTTGCCACATGCATTAGAAAAAAATAATACCAAAGCTTATGTATTATACCTGCCAAAACATAAAAAATCATATCAACAAAATCTTCAAAGACAAACTTGATTAAATGTGGCAAAATATTGATAAAAAGAATTGTGCTCCGGAATGTTAAGTGTCTTCTTCCTCGACAACACTCATCAGGTAAAACCTCCAATACAAGTTAGTTGTGTCAATTTTCAAATTGTGAATCGTGTTTGTAATGACTAAACCAATAGGCAAACTAACAAGCTGCAAACACATTCACCTCCATAACATACACGAAAAAGGAATATTTTCCAATCTCGCGTCATGAAGTATTGTGTAAGCGTTTCATTGTATGGAGACCTGCTTGAACCGTTTCTTAGAAAACCCTATACCGTTCTAAGATATCATTAATCTTCATAGCCAGGGATCAATGTGCCGTTAGCCTCAGTTTGAAATTCATCGGTGTCACCGTGGCAAGTCATTCTGACCAAACATTTTCCAGAAGCCAAGGACACCGCTATCACAAGAAAGTAAACACACAGATGGGTAGTCAATGCATTGGACCATGGAAAAAATGCTAGGCGTTACTTAATGAGGTGTTTTTTAAAAGCTAAATGGCGTTTCATGAGTATTCAATTAGAGACAACTACTATATCACATACTAGATAATGATTGGTGTTTTGACAATTGGTTTGAATTTCAATATATTTTTAAATATTGTACAAAAGACACATAAGTAAATAAGACCTCTTGTTACAAATTTAGAGTTACCTACAATAAGGCCAAATAAATAATTAAACTGCATCATACAGTTGTTTCGTCTTTTATGACTCGCCAGTGAAGCAAATGACCTAAAGTTTGAAGTCTAGGAGGCGATTGAGGAAAATCTAAATTGATCGAAAGAAAAGTCAAAGATTACTTAATGCATAAATGTGTTCGTTGTTTAACTGTGTTTTTGAAATTTCATAGTAAGTAGTTTTATCTGTTGATGTTAATTTTTTTTAAATGAAAGAAAATTTTACTTGAAAATCCCTTCAAATTCTGTAAAGAAGTTATCTTCTTGTATTGTTGTTTTACAGATTTTTAAAAAATCCTGATTGAAGTAGGACGGATAAAAATCATATATGTTCAATTAGTAGAACTTTTTGTCTTATAAACATTGAAGATAAGCAGTACTTAGGTTCGCCTCCTTTGGTCATAACGACTGTATGTCTTTTTACATAAAAATCGATATTCAGAATTTCTTAATTGTTGTTTATTATCGATTGAGTATGTTTCTAATTGACACTTACCGTAATGGGCAGAATTTCTATGCGTTACGGAATGTCCCTGATTATAATATGATTGACAGAATCCATATTTACAGTCGCTGAACGACTTAATCTCAGCTGTCATTCTGTGTTAACGATCCTGATTTCATATACGTAAGATGTACCTAACAATGTAAGAGAGCTGCGAGATACGGTAACTATCAATCAATTTAGATGGTCCTTTTTATCTCCTCGCGGCGACCGCAGAGGGTTAGGGTTAGGTTGAGGGACGACCGCGGAGGGTTAGGTTAAGGGTGAGGGACGACCGCGGAGGGGATTTAGTGTTTCGTTCGTTGCCGTCGCACTAACAACTTCATTTCTCAACCGTTTTGGATCAAACTTCACATATTGGTAACATAATACCTTGGACTAGTTGGTGTTTCCGTTTGCCAGGGTCAAAATCAAGGTCACCGTTACTATTTTTAGAAAATCTTTGCCATCGCTCTAGCGACTTCATTTCTGAACTGATTTTGACCAAACTTTATATTTTAGTCACGAATCATAAAATCTTGAACTAGTTGGTGTTTCTGTTTGCCAGGGCCAACGTCAAGGTCACCGTAGTTATTTATAGCTTAAATGTGCGTTGATGATATATAGCCATCAATAATATCAATTATTAGAGGATGAAGTTGCTAGTGTGTGATTTAAGTAGGCTCTGTAGGATGCAACACATGGGATGTGCTCTTTAACAAACTTTATTATAAATTGGAGCGAGGGGATTTGCATCGATTGCGATGCCTTGTTAACATTGGACATTTTTAGCATTATGTTTCAATGTTTCAGTTTTCCCCATTCGAAAACAGCAACGAAAATATTGAAATATCAACAAAAACTCATACTTGAATTCGGTGAAACTAGCCAAAGGTCAAAATATGGGATGAAAAAAGATTTACACAGATACTCCTGAAAAGACACAAGGAAAAGAAGACCATGTGTTCTGAAAGGAAAAGTGTCTTATGCTTCATAAATCAAAAAAAGAATATCAACATAATATTTATTCAGATGACAAAGGAATTGGACATCTTACATACTATATATTATTGGTCAATTTAAATAAATAAGTTCCCAAACGAGAACTACATGTAGGTGGACAACAACGGAACCATCCGTTCCTTTGTTCACAAACTCTACAGGACAAGTTGCTTGCGAACAGCGGCTAAGCGTACAATAATGTACGGACAGATTTAACAAATCAAGTTTGTCCCTAATACAATCAATATTTTTTGAAGTCTGCAAATCAGTTTCGAAAAGGTCACCAAAAACCGTATTAGTTGAATCCACTTGAAGCTTTCCTAATTAGGAGAAAGAAAGAGAATACGTTGTAATTCAAACATGATGGACATCCGATGGTTTCTGTTAAGATTTCATAAGGTCTTCGAACATGACAATACATTAAGCAGTTCCGTGGCTAGGGTTACGTCGTCTCTTTTCAGGAGTGAAAGCAGCCGTGACGATAGCGTCACTGCATTGGAGACAAAACAAATGTCCAATATAGTTAACGCGGTCATTGCAACCATATGGCGCTAATATAGTCATCATCACGGTTCTTACGTGTCCTTAGTGCAGCGCTAATAGTCCGTTGTTGTTTTTTCGGAATACTGTCACTTGTAAACAGTATAGAATAATAAGGGATTAAAATAATAGAAAAAAACACGTCCTTACCATTTATGTAGTCCCAAAAACAACTTTAAAACTACTAAATTAAGACATTTATCAATTAGGAATTGTAGTGCATCAGAATTTAATATTGTATATTAATGAAAACTACGGCATTTTAATGCAAGCGTTAGTAAAGAGCTTCGACATATCTTGTTGATGATTGTTTAGACAAGACACCACAATTACGGCTTATCTCGATATCTGTGACTATATATCTCGGTAAAAGTCGAACAATACTCAGTCACGTATTCTTATTGTCGATAATGCTATGGTATTTTACCGTATTATGTCTAATTTTCATGCCCATGGGTCGAAAGTTCCAAGATTTTTTGTATTGTCTGTTTGCATGTTGTCAATTTCAACATTGCCCAAAACTACTTCACCGTAAGAGGCAGGGCTTCCATATTTGGCATGTATGTTATTTGTGACAATAACTTTCCGTTGGTACAAATATTTTTTGACCATGTGACCTGGACCGTGGCCTTTGGTCTACATTTGAAAAAAAACCCAACAACACTAGCCTTTCACCACGTGTGCATGCAATTAGCACATGCCTTACACGGTACAGTTTTAATGTCCCATTTCAAAATTTTGTTGCAACCGGGGGCGGAGAGCTTCGTAAATACTTCTCGTTAATTTAGAATTGAGGTGTTCTTAATTTGTGGCATTTACTGTTGTTGAGAATATTATGTAATGAAAAACTAATTATAAAACAATTCTTTTAAATGTCACTACATTTTGTAGATCTCGTTAGATTGCTTAGTCTTTTATAACTTGTCGTTAAATGAAGAGTTTGATACCAATTAGAATTCTATATTTGTATGTCTGATCGGCAACAGTAGCCGTAACTGACGTACCGCCACAAATTACCAAAGACGTACTTTGAAACTGTTTCAAACGCTAGTAGTGTCGGGTTAGCGACTTCACACGCCCAAATAGCCCTACTTCTCGTTGTATCATAGGTACAGGTCGGTCCCCGGCATTTACTTTCGCGGATGGTTGCTCGTTGTAAGAGCCTTGGTGTCCACTTGCTGTCATAAACCGCATATACCGATGGTTGTAGCGGATGTACCTCTGTCGTAAGATCCCGGCCGGTCACTTACTGTAGCGGATGTACAACTGTCGTAAGATCCCGGCCGGTCACTTACTGTAGCAAATGTACAACTGTCGTAAGATCCCGGCCGGCCACTTACTGTAGCGGATGTCACTGTAGCAAATGTACAACTGTCGTAAGATCCCGGCCGGCCACTTACTGTTGCGGATGTACCGCTGTCGTAAGATCCCGGCCGGCTACTTACTGTAGCAGATGTACCTCTGTCGTAAGATCGGTGTCGGCCACTTACTGTAGTGGATATACCGCCGTCATAAGGTCCCGGCCGGCCACTTACTGTAGCGGATGTACCTCTGTCGTAAGATCCCGGCTGGCCACTGACTGTAGCAGATGTACCTCTGTCGTAAGATCCCGGACGGCCACTTAGTTTAGCGGATGTACCGCTGTCGTAAGATCCCGGACGGCCACTGACTGTAGCGGATGTACCGTTGTCGTAAGATCCCGGACGGCCACTTAGTGTAGCGGATGTACCGCTGTCGTAAGATCCCGGACGGCCACTGACTGTAGCGGATGTACCGCTGTCGTAAGATCCCGGACGGCCACTTACTGTAGCGGATGTACCGTTGTCGTAAGATCCCGGACGGCCACTGACTGTAGCGGATGTACCGCTGTCGTAAGATCCGTATCGGCCACTGACTGTAGCGGATGTACCGTTGTCGTAAGATCCCGGACGGCCACTGACTGTAGCGGATGTACCGCTGTCGTAAGATCCGTATCGGCCACTGACTGTAGCGGATGTACCGTTGTCGTAAGATCCCGGACGGCCACTTACTGTAGCGGATGTACCGTTGTCGTAAGATCCCGGACGGCTACTTACTGTAGCAGATGTACCGCTGTCGTAAGATCCGTATCGGCCACTGACTGTAGCGGATGTACCGTTGTCGTAAGATCCCGGCCGGCTACTTACTGTAGCGGATGTACCGCTGTCGTAAGATCCCGGCCGCCCACTTACTGTAGCGGATGTATTGCTGTCGTAAGATCCCGGCCGGCCACTTACTGTAGCGGATGTACCGTTGTCGTAAGATCCCGGTCGGCCACTTACTGTAGCGGATGTACCGCTTTTTGAAAGATCCGGGTCGGCCTATGTAATAGCTCGGTCAGTCAGTAACCAAGAAACACGTACACACACACATATATATATATATATATTCATCGCCCCGTGTGACCTCTTCATTAAATGTAACGAGCCTACTGCTTTTAATAAATGATCCCCAGCATTAGAACCGGACGTTTACTCGCCGACTTACGTCATTGAAGTTATTGCCCCGATAAGGACAGGAGATGGTTGGCCGGGTCGTCACCTCTCTTCGTTCCTGGACAAAGGCCGATGCTATAACCACTTCATACAGAGAGAGAGCTCTTTCAATATCCTTTCATGAAATATTAAGTACAGCGTGGGCTGCTATGTTTTAGCAATACACGGATGTTCATACTCGACTTAAATGAGTTTCGATTTCATCTTCCTGTCTAGCTTGGCAGTTTTCCGTGAATCAGTTACAGCTGGATTATATATATTTTTGTTATTGAATATTGTTTAAACTAAAACATATAAATGTCGTGTAAACCTTGGTCAATCCGTGTAAGTTCTCAAGCAAGGTGTATATAACAACGGAACCAATAGGCAAATTAACGAGCATCAAACACGCCCAGCTTCATATCGCACAAAAATTAAAAAAAAAAAAAAAAAAACTCAATGAGATCACTATGACGACCTTAAAGCTTCTCCATTATTTTCATCACCCTGCATCTTTTGAACCCCTGTGTTACGAATTTGTCTGTCAGCTGATGACTTCTTGTACGAAAATCGTTATAATGGAAACACGCCCTAGAATATCGAATCAACCGCGACACGTAAACACTATAGGTTAGGGATGCTGGAATGCAGGAATAAGATTATATGACACATGAAAAAAAAAATTAAATTGTAACCAGTGATATTGTTGGTTTATTGTAGATATCAAGAAAATTCTTCTAATACTACACGGGCGAATAACGTCTGTACATAGTTCTATGGTCGTCTCCCTCACCGATTCGAAATGGAAAATGGCAAATTGTTTTGTGACCTTTCTTAGTAGCATGTGGTATCCAGGACTTTGTCGAGAAGCAGTTCTGTATCAAAATCGTTCAGTGGACCCTCTTAATCTTGCTGAAGATTTTCATTTTTAGGAAGTGGAAGGTTAGAAAAATGTGGCAGCCGACAAGGTTTACTAGGTCTCAAGTAGATAGTAAAACATGTACAAGCAATCTGTTCAAATATAAATTGCCGTCATGTCATATTTTTTTTTATTTATCTATAATTATTATATACACTTCATATCTTTATCAATTTCTGTTCTGCAAATCCGGAGGAAATTTTCTTACTTATATTTAAAGTAAGCATCAAACTTGTATAAGGAGGCCGATCTGTCTTAGTTTGGTTGTGTTCTTGGGAAGGACACTTTACCCTAATTGCTATGAATAACATGCGGCGGGCATCCAGTATGTTGTTCAATGAGGTAGATACCACCTACCTAAAGAAGACTCCACCTCGAAATGTTTTTCTTTTCTGTTCATGTGTTGATAAACACAGGAATTACAAATATCCTCTACTGCTACCTAGTTTTTATATTGTCTCATTTTCAGTATCTGACAAACTAAAATTACCAAATCGGTTCCAATAAATGCGTTTATCCTGACTGCATTTATTCATGTATGGATTGAAAAGACATTTCAGCGTCCCATCTGTTTAAAATGATGTCCAACATCGTGTCATTGGATAGTGAAATTGCCTATTTGTTTCCACAAAGGCATGACCGTTATGTCTTTTAGTCTGTGTACGTACAGAACACCGCCATTTTGCCACGATTTGTTTCATGGTCAAACGACTTCACCTTGGTTTTTATACCTTCGTCTGTCTACGTGTAATGAATAGGGGCGAAACGACTATGAAATAAAACGTATCAGGTTATTTTCTATAATGGGAAATGAAATCTAAACGATGGCATGTTCTGTCTGTAGATCGAATTATTGCCTCTGGATTTCATTCAGTAAAAATTATAACAGTAAATCTTGGATGTAGATATGTATTGTCGTTTTCGGGTAATGTTAACCTTCGTAAGAGACAGCAACCAGTTGTCAGTATATCTAGGTATAAACGTGTTTTATTACATCAAACTATAACCGATTAATATAATATATACATCTCCATAAAAATATGTATACATCTATTAATAACTTATCCTGTGACGATTCAACTTGCGTGGGATTAATCAAACAATGTGTTGCTTTCTGGTAAACGCGTTGCAAAACGTTAATTTTCCTTGTTCGGCGTGAAGGTTAAATATGTCATATGAATTTCTATCGAGTAATGTCCGTGTATATTGCAGATTATCTCTTATTTGGTTAAAATAAGAAGTGAAAGCGATTTCTACCAGATAACAACGTGAAACAGCCATTTCTTAAGAGTGTCGATTTGTTACTGAGCAAAATGTTAAACTCTATGTCGATTTTGAACCCCATTTATTATCTTTTTGTAATCGGATCGGATTTTTAATCTATTTTTCCTTTGAAATGCAATAAAAAGAAAAGTTATCAATTTTCCGTTAAATATCCTATATATTTCACTCAGAAGACAGAATGTCTTTATCGATGTTATTCACTCGTGACAGGTATTCTGTCATACTTCTGATAATAGTCTTGATATTAAACGTGAAACTTATACATATCGTCCATATATCATACATGTATACTGTTTAAGAGGCTATTATTCAAAATTGATATATTTGCTTTTTGTTATAGAATAAAACCATTATGATATGTCACCATGACAGCACGACTCAAACCCATTCCGGAAATATTCAAGTCACGTGTGTAGCGCTTTAGTTACCACGTGTCGCTGATTTCACTGACCGAGAACAGGACAGTTCATGTGCTAGCGTACTCTTAAAGCAGAATGGCTCCAAATCACAGTTGATTGACGGACACTTGAAGAAAGCATTCCGAAAATAAACTGCAATGTAATTTCGTTGGAATACCAGCTGATATACGGATTTCCGCCTTTGTTCCCGGACCACATACGTCTGAATTTCGATTACCTATTACTCCCAAAGGAATCGGAACTTGAGTCCATAAAGACCGCAGTTTCCTAATGATCATAACATCAGTATGAGAACGATCTATGGAGCATTGCCTATGAGAGACAACATCGAGAATAGCTGACGTTGAAATTTGTCGCGACTCAATACTGCAAAATATTTGCCATTCCGCTCGTTTATTTTCTTTTAACAGTTCAGATAATTTGATTACAAAATAGTGCTTCATTCCGAGCTTTGTCCTATGGTAGCATGTAACTGCCATTTACTTGTCGTTTTGATAATTCACCGCGAAAAAACCCATGTTAACACGACTTATCATGATAATATCGTGTAACGACATGTTTGAAAGTTGACAAGTCACGATGATTCCGTAACAAATTGACCTTTGAATAGCCTTAATTATCACGAGTACACGACAATTTGACGCGATATTGCTCGGATCACAGGTTTCTAACCTAGATGCTGCACGGCCTATCCGCGACTGTTGACGCAACCTGTCTGCAACGCCGCCATCTTGGGAAGGTATTGCCGCTAGCGCTAAAACCATAGCTACACAATGGGCCTCATGCTAGAAATCCCACTAAAAAAAGTGTAGCTCGGTCACTAGCCCACGTATCAACACAAATGATACTTCATTTTAAAGCCGAGAAAAAGTTCTATGCTGTTGTCATCTTAAAGTGGAGTTATCGGGAATTAAAATTAAAGAAAAAACAACGGAAATGTTTAAAATGTAAAAATGTAAAAACAGTAAATTGACATATGATAACCCACCCACCCCCAAAAAAGGAGAGAGAAAAAACAATAAAAAAGAACAATTAAGAGATGATAAATAGTATTTTACTCAAATTCATCCTTTTTTTAAATAGTAATAAATAACTTGATTGTAGCAATGAAAAAGGCAATATAGAAGTAAGGAACAATATACTCCAGGATTTACGCACTTAATTTGTAGAGCGAATAACATTTGTGAATACATCTATTAAAGGTTATCTCACCATGCAGAACACTGAATGCAAAGTACCACACAGCAGCTAACAGCCTCTGACCATGAGATGCACTAATTAATAATATATATAGTCACATGCAGTGTGACTGTGGGAGTCTTAGTAAAAACATGAAACTAAGATACATTTTCATTAATATTTTAATACGTAACGAAATACAGGGTGAATCTGCAAAATGACACAAGAAAATGAGGTGCACAAGTATGCCTTGATATTTATATGAGTAATTTATGAATAATATAATCCCACTTGCTACTTTCTTGAATTTTGGTGCATTAGGAATGAGGAGACGACAGCAAAACAATGTAAGGTAATATACAATCGGATCTCTCTTACAGGCGATTCTAATGAAGTGCAGCATGTTGTTTGCCTTCACATTGAACATTCACATACATGTGTAGAGAAGGTAAACCTATAATCCAATAACTGTTTGAAATTGATGCAACAACAATCACATCATTCATGACAATATTGAAAACAAGTACAGTGTGACCTTGCTTGAAGTGCAAACTACTTTATCTTAAGTCCCATATTGCACCAGTCAAATACAAAGTATACACTCTCTACATATGCAGCACTGGCACCATCTGTCTACATGTTCTGTATTCATCACAAATAAGCCCAAGATATAGGCTAGCTGCTTATTTTGTTACCAAAATAAAACTACGGTCAAACACAAAAGGTAACTGTAATAAATCACACTACTTTGCAAACATGTCAGTGCACAATATAATGTTACAGCAAAATAAAAAAAACTACTCCTTACATCAGGCGAATGACCATCTCTTAGTATAGCTGCTCAAATACTTAATGATGGCACTCCAAAAAAACCCTTTCATCATTACTTGAAACACTGCCTGTTACAATGACATCTACTACTCAACACTATATATATGTTTACAAGTCAAAATTAATAGGCCCTATTATACAAAGGTAAATCGGATAAGGCACACATTCTGTAAAACATCAATTTGTACATGGTAATAACTTGACAGCTTGTACAA